CTTGGACTGTCTTATCAAATGGTCTCCTGCAAAAGATCAAATACACAAGGCAACCAGAGAATGCGACATGGAATGCGTTGTAGCCACATCAAAGAGGGCAATTAAACAGTTGTGTCGGAGGCTTAGGAGCCCATCATGCTACAATGGCCTCCTGGTGCACAGGAATTCATCAAATATAAACACTCTGGCAAAGGTGAGACATTTGTTTTCATAGCAGGGAGCTTTAGCATATCATAGCAATAACTTAAGAGCTGGGGCAGGGTGGGGGGAACTGCCAGAGGCTGATCCCAGTGATCTCATCATCATTAATGTGGCTGGGGAGCTAAATTATGAGCATTAGATGAGACCGTCTATGCTAGCCTTTCCAACATAGCACCCTTCATGTTTTAGACTCCAGTTCCCAGTATTACATTGGCCATACTGGCTCTTGTTTTTTTTTTAAATCAAGTTTTATTATTTTCTCTATAGATCCAAAAACTAAAACAACAGTTATTCAGGACATTGGACATACTGGGTCGAGACCTCACTCTTTTTTTTTTTTTTTTACATTCAACAACCATATTCAATTCTATGCATAGTCCTGTTTCTCTAACCAATGATAGAAAATATGCTAAGTTTGATAGAAGTATGTATCTTCCTTCTCCTTCAGAGACAAAGTCAATCTGTCCATCTCTGTGCAATCTAAAATCTTTTTAAAATCAGTTCTTCACTAGGTGGCTCTTCGCTTCTCCAATGATGGGCAAATGCAACCCTCGCTGCAGTAGTTATATGTAAAGTCAAATATATAGCTTGCTTATTGAGGTCATCAGGGATAATACCTAATAGAAAGACTTCGGGTTTAAATGTTAACAGTCTGTGCAGCATTTCCTCAAGCCATTTGTGCATTATGACTCAATATTTTTTTGCCTTAACACAAGTCCACCACAAATGATAGAAAGTATCAGGTTTGTGTTTACATTTCCAACATCTATTTGACATATTTGGAAACATTTTTGCTAATCTATTTGGTGATAAATACCATCTATAAAGCATTTTATAAAGGTTTTCTTTATATGAAGTTGCTAGGGTTATCTTAATATTTCTTTCCCACAGCTTTTGCCATTTCTCATACTGGCTCTTGTTGATGGAAGTTGGAGTCCAAATCATCCGGAGGAAACCAGGTTGGAGAGAGACTGCTGCATATTCTTAGCATCTAGTACTTAGAACTGAAGACCTGGAGTGCGCCCTTTGGTAGATGGTACATGGCATTCCCCAGGAACCGTTCCATAATCTCAGCTGAATGTGAGAAAAGCCGACAGGAAACAGGAAATTCCCCTCTGGCACGCTCAAGTACAAGGACGGATACCTACGGTAATCCTCCCTAGATATAGATGACACAGTTTTCCATGAATTCTTTAGACCTTGTTTGACTCCAGCTGCCTGGCTGATGATCAGCATTTCATCCTATGAGAGTGCAAGATGTTCTGCCCTCTCAGCGAATTTCGCATGGCTCCGTTAAGTGACATACTTTGGGGGCATTTTTGTCATCCATTCAGAAGGCAAGACCCTCCAACTGCCAGCTTCATCACTGAAGAAGTGCTTCTCCCTCTCCCCCTCCTGCCACAACCACCCCCAATTAAAAGTGGTTGTATCTTGATTACAGATGCCTTATGTTGATGATAAACTAACTCTGCACCAGTTTAGTAGCACTAAGGCTTCATTTTCAAACTTCGCCTCTCAGCAAATGAGGCTCTAGTATTTACAGGTTCAAATGAGGATAGGGACATGGCATTCAGCTTTCTGAGTTGCCGGGCACAATTAGGTAGCTGGATAACTACATGCCCTCATTTGGGCAGACAAGAAAGGCATGCACAGAATTGTGCCTGCCAAGACTGGAAGCACAAGAGAAGTTGAATTCTGTCATGGAATCTCAAATAATGCACACGTTCAGTCTGTGTCTGCCTATCTAGTACATTTCTGCCATGCTTGGTAACAATGACAATAGCAATTATTTCTCATCCTCCAGATAATGTTGAAGATTCAGATAACACAAGCATGATTATTCATAATAATCCAAAATGCATAAATCTTGCAATTTGTATATGTGAATATTGTAAACTGGGCATTTAATAACAAAACAGATGTGTTCTTAAATTAAACACATTTGAGTTAAGTACTGATTTGTATAGACGAGCTCCTAAATTGCAGTCTGTTCCCCCATGCCTTCTTCTTGAAAATGTGCATGTGTTATGTGTGAAACATTCATTCTGGATATTCATTATGGATAAAGAGTACTAAGCATTGCAACAAAGGTGGTGGTTGATCATTATCTCTAAATTCTACTGGATTGGGATTTTTATACTGTTCCATACATGAAAAAGACATCTAAGTGTTTCATTTTTAAAATTAACATTCCAAAATATGCTTCATATAAAGTATAAGACAATTTGCTTGCCCATCTTATTACTCCCTGGTATTCAGGATAGGGTTTATATATGGCCATTTTTTGCATAGAAAACAAGTAACCAAAATACTAACAAACGTATTCTAAGCTTTCATGGACAATGGCCCATAAAAGCTTATGTCATCATACATGTGTGAATATTCAAAGTGCCACAAGTCTCTCTGTTGTTTTTGCTGCAATAAACTAACATGGCTACTCTCTCCAGAATTTGTGCAATGTTTGGAACATGTGTGCTTCCCTTCTCTCACAGGAACAAAGTAGTAGTGAAGTTGTTGCTGTAGTTGTTGCTGTAGTAGTGAAGACAAATATATGTATTGACACAGGTTCCAGTCCTTGGCATGTATACATGTGTCAGTCATTACAAAAAAAGATGGCTTTGGGAGGGAAATCTTCTGTAGCTGTCCTTTCCCTCTCTCCTGGGAGGGCTTGCAGAAGGGCAGAAATAACATAGATTGAAGTGACTGCTTTCATTGCAAAGCCAAGTTCTTTCCTGCATGTCTTCAATTATCTTTTGATTTCTTCTCGGTGCTCATTTGCTTATAAATGGAATTTTTACTTGTCCATATAGCCTTGCCAACAAAGAATCTAAGCATTTTTTAACCAATGGGTTACTTTTTTCTCCTTCTTTTAGTATTTCTAGCATTGGTAACCAACTGTCCATGATTCTAGGTGCTCCAGATATTTTAGAACTTTTCTTCAAACACCAACCCAATAAAGGATACTTTGTTCATTTCATAATACAATTATCTGCATTTATAAAAAGGTCTATCCTGTAAGAATCCCAGCAGGGATGAATTAATGCAGACACAAGTAAATAATTCAGTTTTCTTTAAGATGCTACAAGTGTGCTTTTTCAAATCCCCATCAGGCACTGAATTAACTGAATTAATTTTTGGTTGAAACCTTATGTCCAGATAGATTTGATCTGCCTTGATTGTATTACTGTGTCCCCCTGGTATGTTTTCCTGCTGCCTGAGCCCTTTGAAGTTCTGGGAAAATCCAGGTCTGGATGAGTAACTCTGGTTATCTTTTTCTTCAATCAGTGCGATGACCTCACATGCCAAAGTCATGCTGAAGCCTTTGTTTTGACTGCTGCTTGAAACTTTCCTCTTTAACATCTGAATCCACAATGTGGCTGTCATTACAACTATTATTATGTTCCATACATGAAACCAAGGAGGAAAATTGCAGCCTATAACAGATCTTACTACTAAGATTTGGGGGGGGGGGGCAGGTGGGGAGGGTACCCAATGTCCAAAGGCTTCTGGGTGCATATTAACAGGACAGGTTTGTTTTGTTTGATTGATTTTAAAATGTCATAGACTCTTAATAGAAATGAGAAAATTTAAGGGGGGCACATTATAAAAAAATTTATAATGAAGATCCCTTGTCTAGCCCCTCTATATCCCAACAAAGACAATCTTTAAAAAGCAGTTGATTCAAAGAAGAGTTTGATTTAGATGTGCCACATACTTTCTATTTTAATTGCATGCACTGTATCTATCCCAGCAAGTTTTTATTAAACCACAAGAAAATCTACCACTAAATGATGGTTCAACTATAAAGACAATAATCCTATGCTACGTCCCATTGAACTCAGTGTGACAACGTCTAAATATGCATGGATAAGACTGACTGGGTTGGGGGTAGGGGAGGAAAAAGTCCATGATGGCTAGGGATAATGGGAATTGAAGCTCAACACATTTGCAAGGCACCAAGCAGAGCTGTTTCAAGTGCACTGGAAGTCCTAGACATTGTTTAGCCGCTATTAAGTTCTATTGCATTCACCGCGAATAATACCCCAGTACATGTGGAAATCAGTTGTAATATTGTTTACTTGGGAAAAGCCCTGCGAAATTTAATGGAATGAAGTCTAGGTCGGAAGTATTTTCCATTGGGATCAACTGGGCAATCAGTTGAAAGGATGTTTAGAATCAGCATGAACTTGTGTGTAGATCGCAAAGTGATTTCAAAATCACTCCCATTGAATTCAGTGGAGTTTACTCTCCCGTAGATATCTTTAGGATGACAGCTTTTGCACTGAACAGTTTTTAACTCTGAGTGCCTCAAAGGAGAAATCTCACTGCCTTCTCTCCCCCTTTCGGTGTGAGACTCTCTCTACAGCTCTGAACACGTCCATTGATCAGCTCGTTCCTCGTTCGTTCCTTGTCTTGCGTGAGACACTTTGAAACGGGCCGTTCACCGGAAAGCTTCCTCGAAAGCAAGCCCCGCCGATTTCCACGGGCTTCTTACTCACCCGCAGACGCGCACAGGAAGAAAGGCCCCCTCGGGTCCCCTTGCCCGCGTCTGTGTTCACAACGGGACCCCTCCCGCTAGGCGCCCTCACGGCCCTTCCCCTCCGCATCGACACCTTGCGAAATCGGCGGCAGGTCACGTGGGACGCCGCGCCCAATGCCTGCAAGGGGGCGGATCAAGAGCGGGCAGGTTTGTAGCATTTATTGGCCCCGGGCCGGCCGGGCCGGTTCTAGCGCTTCCAGCAGCGGGCAGTGCGTCGGCTGATCTCTGTGCCTGCCCAGCCTCTACGCGGCGGAGGACGATGGAGCGCGTGGCGCCTGCCGAGGGGCTGGCGGCTTCCCTGCTGAAGGACGGCTTCCCCCCGTCGCCCAAGCCGCCGATGAAGAAGCAGGCGGTGAAGCGGCATTATCACAAGCACAACCTCCGGCATCGCTACGAGTTCCTGGAGACTCTGGGCAAAGGCACGTACGGCAAGGTGAAGAAGGCGCGGGAGCGATCCGGAAAGCTGGTAAGGAAGCGGCGGGCGTGGAGTGGGGAACGCGCGCCCGTAAGCCTGCTGGATCATGGGCTCTTCGAGGCTGCCGCAGCCTGCCCCGACCTGCAGTCCCGTTCTAGATGAGATCGGCAGCAACTGCGCATCATCCCCGACCAGCGTGGCTGATGGCTGCGAATGATAGGCGCTGCAGTCCTAGGCATCTACAGGGCGTCAAGCTGCATTAGCCTGTGCTGGGTGGAACTGATGGCAGTTGCAACCTCAGCTCATCGGGGGGGGGGGGGGAGGTACCGGCAGGTTAGGGGAGGCTGGACTAATAATGGCCCTTTGGTGCCATGATCCCATGCGCGGAGATGCGCTTCATCAGTATGCTGACGTGGGGCTCCACGCTGATACTGGCTTGCATCTGTGGTTACGGCGCAACCCCAAAGATGCGTACTTAGAAGCCAACCCCATTGATTTCGATGCGAGTTCACGGCCAGGAAATTGGGGGCAGCACTGCAGACGTTCATCTTTAAGGTGCTGCGATTCTGTGCGTGACATGCGCTTCGCCTTGAGAGGCTGCAGCCCTCGAGCACCACTTGAGCTTGCTTTGACCTGACGCTTCTAAGGTGATCTGCATTCTGCAGTCCTGAACACAATGACTAGGGAGCAAGCCCTGCGCCACTGGAGAAGGGGGCTCTTACTTATGAGTAAACGTGTCCAGCTCGCGGCGATCCCTCTGCAATGGGTCAGAAGGATGGGAGGTGAGCTGCCCAAGCCAGATTGCTCCCCGACAGAGCTACGCCGTCACACCTCGGGAGCTTTTCTGTAGGAGATTCCCAGGCGAATCCAGCGACCCTTTTGAATTTTCCCGCTACTTACGCCTGGGTAGTTAGTGGTGGGAGAGGGAGGGAATCCCCGCGAGCTCCCCCGGGAAGCCCCCAGCACCTTATTGCCTATGCGGTATGCGCGGCGCCTTCTCCGCCCTGGGGTTGCCGCTCAACCCGGTGGCGGCGACGGTTGAACCCTAGCGGAGTTCGTCCCCCCAGCTCCCTTTCCTTCGTGTTCCTGAGCGGCCGGATCTCTCTGCCCTCTTAGAGCGGCTCTGTGATTCCTGTGCCTCTGATGTAACGAAGGCTGAACACTCCCTCGCTGTTCATCGCGCGGGGCCGGCCTGCCTGCCTGCCAGCCGGCTGCTGCATGTGCCACAGGGCTGTTGAGTCTGCAAAAACGAGCGCTTTTAAGGTGGGGGAGGGGAGCAAGCGGGGAGGGACGTCGCTGCACGGTAATTAGGACTGGACACCCCACAGGGTTTGCTGATGGCGATGCAGATTAGAATTCCTAGAAAGAAAAAGGAAGAGGCGCAGACAGACAGATGAGCGGCCGTCCAGAGAAATGGCTTGCTTAATGAATATTACTAATACTGCACGATCCTGCATGCTCATTCCACTACCTATCCAGGAGGAAAATTGTAAATGCTATTTTTTAGAAGTGTCTTAATGGATCTCCATGCAGTTCAGTGGAGTATTATAACCACCACTCCTAAGTCGCTTTTGTAGCCTGCCCTTTCCTGCACGTGCAGTTAACAATGGGATCCTGTGCGTATATTTACTCAAAGGAAGTCGCAGTTGTTCCCACTGGGACTTAAGTCCCTGATTAGTGTGTGTTGAATGGCAATCTAATGGCACAATTTTATGCATTTTCAGGCAGAGAAAGCCCCACTGACCATGTGTAGGATCTCAGTCTATGGGCAGAAAAGCATTCTGTAGTTCCCAGAATCCCCCAGGCTGGAGTTGCAGATATTTTTTTATGGTTAAAGATTGCACCTTAAATAAATCTGGGAGTGATGGAGCCGGATCTGGTTTGTTAAGTAGCGGGGATCTTCTGACCAAACTTCTGTTGTTCAACTGCCTCAGCTTGATCAGTGAAGGTACCTTGATTCTGCATCAGTTTAGTTGGGCAAGAGGTGAAGAGACTGCAAAGTGAATGAATCCAAGCCTGCATGAAGCTTGCTTCATGGAACTAGCAGGTGGGCGGGCAGGCAGGCCCATGCAGGTTAGGTTAACGGAGCCTTGCAAAACTTTACATGCAGTTGTGAATCAAGTTGGTCCATGAGGAAGAGTGATGGGATTAAGGGCAATTACATCAGAGGCAGGGTGGTAAAACTTCGACTCTTGCCAGGCTGTTGTAAGTGGCTTTTCTTTTGCTGGAACTGAATGGCAAAGCGTTTTCAAGCATGTTTTCCTTGCAGACTGACCCTGGTGGCAGCAGACTGCCCTTGTAAAATGGGAATGCAAGTGGTTATAAGGCCCCTTTTGGCAGAAGCTTGCATTCTTCCCCTTGAAAGTGGAGGACAAAGCAGCCTAATCCTCCTCTGCTATATTTATTTCTCTTTCCCTCTTCTCCCTATTCCCTCCCCACACACTCCAGCTCCATTGCCATTATTGATCTTACAGGAATTGCCAGTCCGTTCCACTGTTTGCCTTTGTGGCTGGCCTCACTGGAAAAATGGAAAGTCAGATCTCATTGGTGGGGATTATTCAAGGGGTGGGGAAAAGAGATTGCAGAATTCAAAAGGGGTTGGAAGATCTCAAATCTCCTTTTTGACCTTGGCTATTCTGGTGTAAATTAGCATTCCCAGAGCAGTGCGCAACTGAGTGCAGAAGCACTGTTTAAATTTGCCCTACAGCTGCAAAGGCATGTGTGCTGCTAAGCTGTGTTTCCTGGCTTTCAAGAATGATGGCAGTAGTCTCTTCATCAACCCCTCTGCAGGCTTGGCAGAGACTTCAAGTCTGAGAATACATTATCTGGGAGCATCATTGGCCTGGCACACTAGTGAGCAGAGCGGATGCTGTGGGTGGATCAATAGCTTCCAGTTCTGTTGACTGAAGTGGCAGATCTTTTTACTTGTGGAAGAGAAATTTGCATGTTGGCTCACTTATCCTGGCAGGAAAGAGTAAATAGTACCAGAATTGCAGGTTTGGCCTTTCTCTGCAGAATTTTGAGTTACTCAAACTATTGTGAGGGAAGTGTCAGTTGCAGAATAGGTTTTGGTGAAACCTGACATCTTTTTGACCATGTTCAGCTTAACTTAATTGTTTGCTTAGCATTCCCCATTCAGGAGGAGCAGGCAACCAGGTGCCTTCCAGAACTACAAGCCCCCTAATTTCAAACAGTGCCCATGCCAACTGGGGCTGATGGGAATTGTTATCAGAAGCATGTGGAGTTTACTGGGTTGCCTACCTTTCTTGTTCCAGCTACATTTTTTTTTCTCCCTCTCATTTTTTTATTTGCTTAACGTTTGGACTGATAAAGAGTGCTGATGAACTCAAAACCTTGCTTGCCTTCTTGTTTGTACTATATATTACCTTGAATAATCATTATAAGCTAGCTTTTCTAGTTTTACAGTTGATCTCAAGATTCATTATTCTTAGCTAATACACTATTTTAACTTGCCGCTTTTCTAAATCAGGAGTTAGTTTTGCTCTTTTATATTTCACTATAGCTTTTTTTCAAATAAATAGTATAAATAAACCAAACAAGACAGAAGCGTGACTCCAAGAGAACCGGAAAGTGCAGTGCTGAAACTCTAACCAAAACATTGCTGTTGACTGAATTTGCGTGTATGTTATCTAATATCATCAGTTTGGCACATTAGTGAGCAGCATAGATGTTGGCTGCATAAACAGCTTCTGGTTGTGACATTCACTTTAAGGTGGTTGGTTCTTCATAGAATTAACAAGCATGCCAAAATTGAGAAAGGAGTGCTTATGTAGATTGGGCCAAATTTTTGTGTATTTAGTAGAAGTTCCATTAAAAGAACCTTGTCTCAAGCACATGTATTTGGTACTGGTGTAAAAGGCAGTTAGGAAATACAAACGTGCCTCTTTGCATGGTTGCTGTCATCAACTTTTGGAGCTCCCCTTCTAATTTAAAATGTGAAAACTGAGTTTCATTGGATGGGTTCTGTTTGCAAATGGGCAAGATGGTGTGAGAACGAGCACTGTTTTATTGCTGCTGTGTGCATTTTGCCATTGTCTATCCTTATACAAGCTCTTGTAGCTCCTTGTCCACTTAGCTGCATGTTAGTGAATCATTTTGCCCAACTGCTTTCACTCCTTAGACTTCATATGAGTCCCAGGAGGCCTGGCTCTATAATGTGGTTGATCAAAGGAAATAAGCCCTGTAGTTACCAAGTCAGCTTTTTAGGAGTACCCATTGTAAATGGAACAGTTCTCATGCTAGAGGTGCTGTTGTGGCTTAGGATACTAATAAAAGTTTATTCATGAACTTTTCTGTAGCTGAAGGTGGCTGCCTTACTTTTTTGAATGTATTTGCTACCAAAGCTGATACCTGGCCTTATGAAGCTGCGGTTTATTTGCTTATGCAGGGATTGAATGGTCTGTTTTCTTTCTCCAGTATTTTGTATGAAACTGGGTTGGCTGAAGTGATGAGGCTAACTGGTTTCTACACCTATTTGTGATACCACATCAGGCTGTAAACTAGAGTGTAGCTTTTAGTCCTTGGCTCCCAGCCAAATCAAACAAGAAGCTTCTGTTTCTATAGTCTCTCAATTTGTGTACTCCAGAGCTGTACATACAGAAAGTGGGGGTGGAGGGTCCTCCTAAAAATAGGAATTCCCCAGGCTTTAAAAAAAACCCCCTTCTAATAACTAGAGAGCACTGGGCTTTCTTAATACTGGGATATAATCTATAACTTGCTAGGATTAGGGCAGTGTGCAGATTCTGGAACCAGTTTTGAAGTACCTGGCAGGCTTTCATTACCGGTTGGAGGTCTCTTCCTCTCCAAAACCATAATTATCAGCAGGTTTGAAATTAGCTGGAAAGTCAAATTATAATGATCAAGCAGAGGTAACTGGCAATGCACTTTGTCTGTCTGAAATCACCATTTGCTGTATGACTTCTTCAAAAATGCAAGCCTGGTCTAACTGGTCTTGTTTGGAAAGGGTTGGATGCTGGGAGTTTAATGGAGATTTTTAGACACGCACTCCAAAAACTACTGATTTGTTAACAAGGATCATGGCTTATGACCTGATCTCTTTACCTCAAGACTGGGATACAATGAGGTGCTACTGGGTGTAGGCTTTTGATGGGTTTCCCACACCATCAAAAGCCCAGTTGTATGGAAACCACTAGAATGATTTCCTACTTCTGTGTAGCTTTGCTTTGTATATTTTATTCTGTATATACTATGTTCATTGTGTTTCTATAGAAACATATGACTAAATTGTCAGGAGCAAAGGAAGAGGAAATGGGATGTAGAGGTATATGGCTAGGGCACCCCAGCTAAAGGTATGAGAGAAAATGGATAGCCATAGAAGGTACAGAATTATCATCCCTTTAACAGCTCCAGGATTTTACACATAATTGCAGTGGAGGAGGTGTTTCCTCACTTCACTACCATGCTTCTTTAATGTGCAACTTAAAAGGAAACCATGAACCTGAGAAAAACTTGTTCGTTAATTTAAAACAACAGCAATGTGAAACCAATTTTACTACCCTGGTGTTATAAGGAAGCATTGAAGGTAAAAGTAGGATCTCCTCCCACTGGAAGAACAGGCATGCACATATGCTTGGCATCTTATGGGTGCTCCTGTAGATAAGTAATCTTGTTTTTTGATGGTAACCATGCTAGACTGTGTTCTTCCTTTTTTCTTTTGAAGGGAAAAGCTATTTCAAAAATCCTTTTATGTAAAGCCCAAATTGATAGTTTGGAGTACTGTTACTGCCTTTCCCACATGTCTGCACAAAGCATATTGGCCCTGCTAGGAGAGAGACAGAACAGACAGTGAGAGAGAGAGAGAGTGAGAGAGAGTGCAAGCATGCATATACCAGTCTTAGTTTCTCTGCATACCTGAAGCTTTGTCCCTCAAAAGCTGTCTGATGGAAGAAGCAACAGAAAAATCACTTCTAGAATTTCCATTTCTAGCTATCTATGCAATTTCATCTCATCAGTTTGAAGCTGGCCAAGTAATAATTGGCTGCCTTCTGCCTTTATATTTTAGGATAGTCCAGTTAGATGTTCTTGACCCCTCGTTCTGAGGCACTTTTAAAGTCTGGTTCTGTTCTCTTCTCACATTAAGCGCAGCACATTAATGCTGTTGTCCCTTATTTTGGGGAAGCAGAGCTGTTCTCTGACAAGAATGAAATGGCTTTTTGGCACCAGTTGCTCTGCCTACTTCCTCCAGTACTGCTACCCCAGTCTTTAGGACAGTTCAGGCCAGGTTAGATACTAGGCATTCCAGATGCATGTCTCTGGGTTAGTGAACTGTGGAGAAATCGGAGCTCATAGCGTAGATTTCAAAAGCAAAGGGTGAAATGGACAAGAATGTCTATAAGTTGGCCGACCAGTTGCATTTAGAAGTTGCTGGTTGACTTTGTGTTTGTGTTATCCAACAGTTGTGACATTCCAGAAGGTGGATCAATTGATGAAGCACTGAGGCAGGAACGGTTAAGGATTAATCTCCTGAACCCAGCATAGAGTCCACCTAAAGTGGCTTGAGCTTTCTCTATTGCTGTCAACATTCTTTGTGGCTCCTATTAATGCCAAATAATTTATGCTGCATTCAGGCTTATTGGCTGGTACACTGTGTCTTCTGAAGATAACTCTTAATGAGACAGAGGCATCAAATTTTCAAGCATAATATTCAGGGATGATTTGTGGTCTGCTGTTGGCCTGTGTAACATCTGTGAATGAAGTAAAACCTGTTGTTGGAAGCAAAAAGGAAAGGGTGACAATACAATAGGTATCATGAAATAACTGGAAGCTGTAGTAATGTTCCAGTACCACCACCCATGGGGTAGCAGCCAGCATCAGTGGTTAAATAAATATTAGACAGGTTCCCAGAACCACTTCTGCTTTTTTGAAAATACTTCTGTGCTGACAAGAAGGGTGGACTGGATGAGGATGCTGGTTGGAATTGGTGGGGCATTTTTCTGTCTAAATTTGCATAGGATCACACACTTATTGCCATTGCATTACAAACAGGGGATGACTATTATGTTTTCACCAGAGCTGTGGGGAAATCCCCAATGGCCAATTCTTGCTTGGATCCAGTATAAGCTAATAGTAGTGCTTCTGCACAAACTACTTAGAAGTGAAGCTTAGGATGCTGCCAAAATCATGAATAGGGAGGAGGACTGAATCTGCTTTTTCAAATGTCAAGCTAACATTCCAACTAGTTTTGGAGCACAGCTCCCAGTGTTCTTGACCAGCGATCATGAAGTCCAAAACAGGCTGGGGAAAGCTGAAGTAGACCATATATTGTCATCATTCCTTTGGCCCCTTAGTCTAGGTATCTTTACTTCTGAGACCAACAGGGAATAAGGAATATCTTAAAGCACACCATTCTTGGAGATAGTTGAATGCCCTGTGCTGCCTCCTCCCCTTTATTAGCAATAGGAATTGGAAGATAATGGTGTTTGGATCGGAGAGTTCTTTACACTCCACTGCTTTTGGGATGCTAGGATAGGCCTCCCTTTCTCCCTTGTTGTTGCTGGGAGACTTAGTATTATGTGTCCTCCAGGATCCTTTTACAGGATTACTGCTGTTCCGCATTCTTGTCCAATAGAAGAAAACGAGGTTGTGCTGGATTCCGTTGTAAATTCAGCCCAAGAAGTGCATTGTGTCTTCAATCCCTTTGAAAGAGGATTAGCTGCATCTATTCTCTGGTGCTCTCACTTTCCCTTGCCTCCCCTTCATTTCCTTGTAGAAGGATTTTCATAATAAAGAAATCTGAGCAAACTTTGGAGGGTTTGCTCCTGCCAATTCAATTTTTTTTCTAGCTGGCTGTGTTTGGGGGAAATTCCATGTTACTACTCATACTTTTTGTTGTCGGAAGAAGGGATATTACCTGGAGCTTGATGGCTTCTTTTTAGTGCCAAACTTTCTTTTAAAATCAAACTTGAGTAAAGGACTTATTCTCGGCCAAATATTTGTAGGGATAACAGAACTGTTTTTGTTTGCATCGAAGAGTGCTATTGACATTTTAAATCATGTGAAGCAGTCACGTTGCATTTGCTGGCTGAATCTTGCTACAGAAGCCCTGTACCTTATTAAGCTAGTGTGAAGCTGCTTTCTTAAACAAATGAAGCAAGCATATGTTTATAAAGTACAAGAAATTATTAAATGTTAACCAGAATAAGGAATAATGTTCTTAATTTAGACATTTAGGAGGGAGAGAATTCTGTAGGGGTTCTGTAGTGGCAAATTTAGAGGTGCATATATTCATCATGACAGCCCCCATAACCCCCACCACAAAGAAGGACCAAATATTTGGGCAGCAGTTTTGATCCATATCGTCAAAGCAGTTTTCATCTCCACGGAAATCTGATCTTTTGTACAGTTAGTGAGTCTTAATTGCCCATTCAGGACCAAGCTGCCCCCAGATACTTTGTGTTACAAGAAAGAATGTCTTGTTGCTGGGAAAATTCAGCTATTATGGGGGTGGGCAAATGGTATCAGCATCTCTCTAATGAAGTGCCAGTGCTACATTTCTGTGAGCTCTGGCTTCACCATATCACAAGATAGCTGTCAAATTAACTTAAAGCCAAATCTTTCTAGCTCTAATTGTTCTCTAAGAATTGAGACAGTTTGGTTAGCAGGTGGGACCATATATCATGCATATCTTCTTTTTTATTATAAATTGTTATGCTTCTCAGTACTGAACTATTATTAAATTGGTGGTGAATGGATGTCTGATGCTTCTGCGGACATTGTCTAGATTTCACAATAGTGAAAGCATAGAATAGTAGAGTTGCAAGGGGCCAATAACGCCACAGAGTCCAATCCCCTGCTCAGTGCAGAACCCCAAGTTAGTCTGAGTCTAATGAGCAGGTAAGAGCTAGTAATCCTGCATTTTGATTATTTGAAATGGAGATCAACTTGTCACCTTTTTATTTAATTTAAATCTCATCTCAATCTCATCTCATTATCATCATCATTATTTTCATTACTGTATTGTGTATTTCCTTGAGCAATGGAGGAAATTACTCCTTGGTTAATCTCTTTGTATATTTCCAGGTTGCAATCAAGTCTATTCGGAAGGACAAAATAAAGGATGAGCAGGACCTTGTCCATATCCGAAGAGAGATTGAAATCATGTCATCCCTCAATCACCCCCACATCATTGGTGTCCATGAAGGTAAAAACTTTTAACATCCATTTAATTACAGATTAAATTTAGAGCAGTGCTTTTTTCTGTTTTTAACATGCAGCTGTTCAGTAAGGAAGTAAACTGAACTCAAGGAGTTGTAGGTAGGATTAACCAGCTATATGTGGAGGGTGTCCTCTTGAATTCTCTTGCTGCTAAATGCAATATCCATACAGTGTGGCCTTCCCTTTAGTATCATTATCAAAAGGTACATTGTTTTGCAGGATTCATTTGAGTCTTTTTTTCCTTCAGGAGAGCTACAAGCAATACTAGTGTTTTAAAACTTTTTAAAGGTTCTTCTGGACTTAAGCAACATAGTTGTGAGCTCAGCTTGCATACAGCCCCACAAGTTCTTCTGGCACCCACTGCTTGCATGATGAAGATCTAGGGCTTTCAGAGGCAACGCAAAGCAGGTGGTTGTGGCTTCTGTGTCTGCTACAGAATGGGCAAGGGTGGCAGCACAGAAGTGGAATGGGCTACACTCGTGGTTGGGCAGCACCACATATCGCCCACACCCTTAGCCCCAGCGTCCCACGTCTGTCCTGTTGCTTCCTCTCAGCACTGCATAATAGCACAACCTGGAAATGGGATGCTGTAAAATGTCAAAGTGGTACAGGGATGTAGACCAATCGCAGTATCCCCAATGCTTATTCCCAGTCCCTGGAAGCTTGTTCAAAATGGCAATGCTTTTGTCGATCTTCAGATAGGTAATTTAGTGGAAAGGTTGGGTGGGGGAAGGGAACACAAGGGCTCCTCACACTAAGCAACACTGGCAGCAGTTTCCTGGCTGGCTCGCACTCCTACCATATAAATAAATATGTTTTTGCTTTGTTTTGTCAACAATGGGCAATGTTGTGAAACCTGAGAGTAGAAACTTTCCAACTTATGCCTGAGGCATAACTGGTTGATTCATCCATAGCTTTAACCTGAGGGCACCAAGCTGACCCCTGTACTTTGTCTTATTGGCTTCCTTGTTTCTGTGTACAAAATAATTTGTAGTAATAGTAGCGCATGCTCCCAGTTACAGTAGGATCTCCGTATGCTTGCAAATGAGGTTCAAGCAAAATGGCCTTTGGGAGTTCTGTGAAAAGCCACGTAAGGGGAATGTGTTATACCAGCCTTGCTCCAGATGTGCGGCTTTCCTGCAGCTGCGTGAGAGAGCCAGTGTGGTGTAGTGGTTAAGAGCGTGGGACTGGGGCTCAGGCGATCTGGGTTCTAGTCCCTGCTCGGCCATGGAGCCAACTGGGTGATCTTGGGCCAGTCACAGACTCTCAGCCCAGCCTACCTCACAGGGTTGTTGTTGTGGGGATAAGATGGAGGAGGAGAATGATGTAAGCTGCCTTGAGCCCTTTGTAGGAAAAAGGCAGGATATAAATCGAAAAATAAATAAATAAAATAAATAAGTGCAGGCAGCAGACCTTAAGACTGAATGTTTAGTCAGTCTGTGTCATTATGATTCTAGCTCCTACTGAAATCTAAAAATACATGAAATAACACCTGATAAAGCCTAACTCTGGTCTACACTTAACCTACTGTTGTAATCAACAATGAATAAAGAACCTGGCCTGAAATTCTTCTGATAACAACCTCACAATCTATTGGACTGCTGCCTACAATATGCTTGCACCTCCTCTGAAGGAGGAAAACTGCTCCTGTTCCAATTGTTCCTAACTGGTTAACATGTACTAGACATTGATCTGACTACTGTTTACTGCACTGTTTTGTTTACTGGCGAGTGTAACACCATCTTATAATTTATATTTTGCAAAAATGACAAAAGCACACCTCCATTTGTCTTTCACACAGAAGGCCTATGGAGCATCCTAGTGGACCTGCTTCCGTAGTGAGCTGAAGTGAGCAGCAATACAAGCCTGAATAGGCAGGATTGTAAATCAGGATAAGAACTAAAGCTGCGGGGGTTAACTTGTGGCCCTTCAGGGTGTGCCCCCCCCCCAACTTCTGCCAGCCCTTGTAGAATGGCTAATGGCAAGGGACCATGGAGGTTGTAGGCAAAATCCTGTATAAGTTACTCACCCCTGAATTAAAGCTATAGGCTTTCCTATTCTTCTCAGACATTGTTTATTCTTTGTTTTGTCTTACCTTTCTCTTTGCCTTGTCCTTGTCCATTGCAGTATTTGAAAATAGTAGCAAAATCGTCATCGTAATGGAGTATGCCAGTAAGGGAGACCTCTACGACTACATCAGTGAGCGCCAGAGACTGACAGAACAGGAGGCTCGGCACTTCTTCAGGCAGGTGGTGTCGGCTGTCTACTACTGTCACAAGGTCAGTGGAATTTGATGGCCTACTGGCTGCAGAAGAGCCCTTCTTGGGAGCTAGTGAGGGCCGGTGCACAGAGAGAGACTTATAGAAGAACCTGTTGGAACAGCTGCTCTTGATGGAGATGTTCTCTATCCAGTCACTTAACTCTTCAGAGGATGGGAAATAGACCCCTGGGGTCAGTTTAAATATTACAGTAGGTGGCTTTTGGGTTCTCACCATCGGAGAGATTCCCAATCTCTGCTTTCCATGTCGCAGTAAAAGTAAACAATTCTTTTTTTTTTTTTTAAGCATCCACGTTCTCTGTCTCTGTAATGTGTGTAACAAGTTCCAGGATCTAGACTGACCTGCATGGACCCTGCAGGGTATATTTTGGTGAGGGTAGCATCCTTGCTATCTTTCATGTACGTATGAAGCAGTCAGGAATAGAGCAGTTACAGACACAGAATTTACTAATTCCTGGATTCCATAATATTCTTGTAAAGAAGGCACAGACATTAGACTATTTTTTATTTAAATATTTCAAAGTAGCAATGAACAGTAACAAATATAAGTGCACAACACATGAGTTGGTTTCTTTATAGTTTTTCTGATCACTCAGGTCTCTGTTTGGTATAAGCAAGATTATCTGATAAGTCAGCATTTGAGTTCCATGAGTCTTTGGAGGCGATCATGTATTTGTAATATTAGCAAATTCAGAATTTTGGAACCTTCCCATTCTCTGCTAGGACTCCAGCAAGAGAACAAAAATGGGTATGGGAAAATGTGATCAAGAGACATGTTGCATTCTTGCCATGTCTATTCTCCTGAGACATGACTGGAAACTTCCCACATTCATATCCTATTTGCAGCCATGTGGACTAGGAATCTGCTTATTTCTGTAGAATTCATGACATGGTCAATCTTACCTGACATTGTAGAAGCTGGGGGTGCTGTGTGCATCATGATATAGGGCCCAGGGTAAATAGTGCCATAAAGTAGCCTGGGAATAGGCAAGATGTGGATTTCCATGAACATAGCACACCTTGAATGCAAGGCAGAGCGTGTGCTATGCTAGTATTTGAGGAATGATACGAGAAAATCTGAGGTGTTCCTCATGCCGTCCTGTCTTTGTGATGGTGCTGGGCAAAATGGAAAGAAATAGAAAGCTCCTCACCAAGGAGGGACTCCATGGACTTGACTTTTGAGTTCCACCCAGAGCCTTCTTTTGTTGCCATTTGTTAATCTGCACTTTTTAGGAAGGACTGCCATGGCTCACTCTTTCAAAATGTACAGCTTGCAAGTTCGTACAGGAAAAGCATGTGCTCATTGCAAGCATCTTGAGTTGTGTACGCTAGCCTAGCACACGCACACAGTCAAGCAGCTTTTGGCCTCAGCGTTCTAGGTGAGGGTGCTCATGAATTACTAGACTAAAGCTTGCAGGAATTTCTTGTCAAGATTCTATTGCTTGCTTAGCATATGTGTATATTGTGATTTTATCCTATTGCTGTTGGCTGTTCTGGCCTTCTGCCTTACAGAAAAGCAATTTATTTCTTTTTATTTATTTCTACCATTTAGTATGTACCGCCTTACAATAATCTCTCAGAGCAGTTAAGGGGAAACTTTAATAAATAAACTAACAGTGATCATTTTATGCACTTTTATTGTTGTACATTATGTTTTAAAGAGACACGTTGCTAGCACATCTGTAGATCAACAGAATGAGGTAGCCTTCTTGGCATGCTTTGACTCCTCCTTTCTGCCAGAAAAACAAAACTCTCACGTCACTTCTGCTTTCTCTCCCAACAGAATGGAATTGTTCATCGTGATCTGAAGCTAGAAAATATCCTTCTGGATGCAAACTGCAACATTAAGGTAAGGTGGCCTGTCACTGAATTCCAAGATTTCAATATCTGTGCCATTCTGCTTTTAGATCAATATAGTATCAAATGATGTTGAACTTAAAAACATGGTGGAAAAGCCAGTAACAAAATACACAATTGGGTTTTTAAAAAATAAATGCTGGATAGAATGTGGCACACACATGAATGTGCATCATAGGAGGTGAATGCATTTTAACTTGGCATTCTGGACTAGGTGTAGACCAATTTTAAGCGATTAGCATAAAAGCAACCACCATTTTAAGCAAACCTGTGACTTGCATGCTACCTCAGGCTAATCCATTGATGATCGGGCATTACTGACCAAAGGGGACAGGCACTACTGACCAAGGAACTTTGCTGTGCTACCAAATTGCTGCCTCTCCCACCCAAACATACTGGGGACAACATGTGAAAGAAGCCTTTCCCAGTTTTCAGCCCCCAGATGATACTGGTTTTCCGCTCCCATCATTCCTGGTCACACTGGCTGGGAAATGCTTGAAATTGTGATCTAATAGTATATGAAGAGAATCTGCTTTAAACTTGCTGCACCACTGAGTCACTAATTTGTGTCATTAATTCAAAAAAAATGTATGAAGTCATTATCTGCACAGTGATTTTGAAGAAGGTAGACCCACTACACAGTTACTGGATATTTCACAGTTCCCTAATAAGAATATGTACAGTGCATTTCAAGTGTCCAGAACACTTTGCTCACAATAGCTCAGGAAGCTTAATCCCTTTGCTACACATATGCACACATTTTGAAAGAGTCTGGTACTTTTCCCATATCACAGGTAGGATGGCAGGAATGGTTATGGAATATAATCATTTGTGAATGGCCACCTAGTTTTCACTTGGTGGAGAAGAGACTGGAGCCAGAGAGCTGAATGCTAACTTGCACTTTAATTGCTGTCAGGCTATAGCATAGCATCAGTCCTTTCTTGCATCATAAAATGGAGGAGGAAAAAGATTGTTTCCAGGGACTGGCTGTGTGCTAATACTGGACTAACTACATGGCAGGCTGTGATGAAATCACAAGCAATCCCATCTCCATGGTTCTTGTTACACAAAATAAAACTCATTTTCACTTTACCAGAAAGACTTTGAAAACCAGCATAAGCTTCTGTCTTCATTTCTTCCATGACACTCAATCTACATAATTGGGATTTGTAGGCCATCTCCTCTTCCAGTACTGGTCAAATACAGCACAATCAATGCCTTCAGACCATAGCAATCACCTGTGTGGCACTGGCTGTTCCACCTTCTGCATTGCCATCTGTTTCTGATAGATGCCAAGTTTGCAAAGGGAAAACGCAAGCCTGCCGACCTGTTTCCTGTAGCTCCAGAAAATGAGAAAATGCAGTTGTCCAAACCGTTCAACCTGACATTTATCCATAGGCAGTTTGAATTGTTTAACAGGGAAAAAGCTAAATATTGCCAATGCTTAGCAGAAATTCTGGATTATCTCTCCTGATAAACTTGCAGATTTGGAGAACTAATCTAAATGGTGACTCATGGCAAAACGAAGTAGGATCCATGAACAAAGTGCCTGGAAGGGAAGGAGGGAGAGGAGGAGGAGGAGGAGAACAAATGCCAAGATATCAAAGGATATTTTGAAAACAGTCGATTAGACCAAGTAATTCAGTCATCTATTGGAGCTTTAAGAATAATTCATCAGGCTTGATTGTAACCTCTATCTAGTGTTAGTCTGTCTCACTGAGGAGTATTAATCTTCATTCCTCAGAGGCTTTGTGAGGAGCAAGGATATTGTGGAGTAAGGAAGCACTCTGATCATGGGAAGAAGCAGCATTGACTGAGGAATGACACTTAAGCAGAGGAAAGATATCCACTGCAGTAGCTAAAAGTGCAATGCGGGTTGCTTTTATTGGTTTGCTGGATGGATGGATGATATGAGAGTCAGTGTGGTGAGGTGGGTAAACTGGGGGTCTGGGAGATCCAGCTTCTAGTCCCACTCAGCCATGAAGCTCACTCTAACCTACCTCACAGGATTATTGTAAGGATAAAAGGGAACTGTGCAAAGTGCTTCGGGTTCCTCACAAGAGGGAAAGGGGCAGGATATAAATACAATGTAATAATAATAAATAATAATAATAATACAGTAAGGCAACTATCTGTACATCTAAGTTATGTCCTGCTGTGTATCCCTTCCTGTAGCAGGGGAGTGATGGGTTCATAGGATGGTGCTGAGTGGGTGAAAAAGATAATGCTTTGCAGCCCAACTGCGTTGAATCATAGGGAAGCAAGGGGCACCAGCCTGCCTGGACATCCTCAGTCCTGGGAAGCTGTCCTGGACGTTCAACCCCATGAATTTTAGAAGGGGAAAGAAACAAGGGTGGGCAACTTGTAGTCCTCCAGATGTTTTGGCCTGCTACTCGCAGTAGCCCTCATCATTGACTAGGCTAGATAACAGTGATGGCAGTTGTAGTCCAAATTTTCCAGGGGCCACAGGATGCCCATCCCTGGATAAGATTCACAGGCTTCCCAAATTTTGCTGTGCAGCTCTATCTGTGGCATCCTTCTGCCCAGAGAATCTACTCCTCCTTAAAAAAGGAACAGCCGGCTATTAACTTTTTTTTTTTTTGGGTGCAGTTAATAATAAACAAAGCCCTGCTGTAGCTGGCATTGCCCGAACAATAGGCTATTCCATAACTGCAAACCTGAAAGCATGTTCTGTACCTTCTAGCCCATCTGATTGGCTGTGGGCTGGATAAACAAAGGAATTAAGAAACAGTGATATCAGCAAATACTTAAAAGCAGTGGCACAAGCAAACTGGTAGAACAGGAGTTCAACTAATCAGTTCTTAAAGCCCTGGCACACACCTGACAAAGCATTTCTGCTCTCCTTCTATGCACTGAGGGTGCTTTTAAGGACGTCTGCCTTTCTTCCCGACAGGTTCCTACATAACCAGTATGTGACAGGCAGAAATTCAATGGGTGCAGATGTCTTTTCACTGAACTCTGTCGTTGGGCCTGCCATGCACTTGTTAAAGTCACAGAGCTACTGCCAGGGGATGGGGGATCCTTAAGAGCTCTGATACCAATTCCTCTAGTCAGAAGCAAGCAGCTATATGTATATCCGAAGAAAGGATGCAGTGCATTAGCGATTATAGCCCTGAATCAGCCTTCCCCAACTGGGTGACCTCCAGATGTGTTGGATGATGCCCTCAGCATCCCCCAACTGGGCATTAAGCAGGGAGGGCTGCTTGGCAAAGGCTGCTCTGGGTTCAGATTTCAAACAGGGTTAGCACAGTTCTAATAGATCAGAGATAAAACTAAGAAAATGGTTTGGTTGCTTATTCCATTGCTAATATTGACTTCAGGTGTGCTTATGTGGGAACAGAGTGAACATTTTAGAAGTTTTTGGCTGGAAAGTAGGCCTTTCATGGGTGAATTTTAAGGTGCATTTTGACTTCTGCCAGAGGCCTGTCTATAACCGGCATCTCCCCTTGCAGATTGCAGACTTTGGCCTCTCAAACGTCTTCCAGCAAGATCGGCTGCTGCAGACCTTCTGTGGTAGCCCCCTCTATGCTTCCCCTGAGATCGTTAATGGAAGGCCGTATAAAGGACCTGAGGTAAGAACCTTTCATGTAAAGCAGTAAAATCCTAAAACGTTGAGCATAATTAGCCAGGTAGGCCCATGAACAAGTATGTAGCTTGTAGTCAAGCTCTGACCTGAAGAGTCTGTCACTGAGATTTCTGACCCTTGGCACCAAACACTTCACTCCTGTAAGTTCATGCATCTGACCGTGAGCATTGCCTATAATACGCCTGGTGGACGTTTACTGAGAAATAGCCTTGTAGATGGGGGAAAACTGGCTCCATGGCACAGAAATACACTGCCGAAAAGGTCCATGGCTGGTAAATCAATGGGAATGAACATGGCGGAAGTGTTCTTTCCTTAATCTGCCAATGGCCAATGCCAGCTTAAAAGCCTTGGAATGGGTATAGCATCCTTCCAGCTGCAGGTTCTTGAAATTTTCAGCCAGAGGTCTGAAGTCACTTTAGACTTCAGGGGCACAGTGGTGGGCAGGGCCAACAGTGAAGAATGCCAGTAATGGGGGGTGGGTGTGAGGCAGCCACACACAAGCTGGGGAACCACCAAACTAGCAGCACTTTGGGGGAAAGGATTATCTCGCTATCTGGTGAAGTTGGGTGAGAAGGATTGATCCCTACGTGGGCTGGAGGTTCTGCACTCTTGCTCCAGCCAAGCTCTCATTGCATTTCCTAAGAAATCTCTACCTGCAGGTTGACAGCTGGTCCCTTGGCGTGCTTCTCTACATTTTGATTCATGGTTCAATGCCTTTTGATGGTCATGATTACAAGACACTGGTTAAGCAGATCTCAAGTGGAGACTACAGGGAGCCCACCAAACTATCAGGTAAGCAGAATGGTGGCACAGCTTGTACGTATGTATCTGTCTGCTGTTGTACAAGAAACAAGTAGAGAACGTGACTTGAAAGCAGCTTTCAGTTCAGGGGTGTCGAACATGAGGCCCTCCATATGTTGTAGAACTCCAGGTTCCATCAGGCACAGTTCTCATGGCCAAGCAAGATGTGAGCTGTAGCCTAGCAGCATCTGAAGAGCCAGAAATCCCCTGCCCTTGCTTTAAGTGCATGCTGTCGCTCAACTTGCCACCATGACTTTAAAATATCCGTTAAGCAGACCCAGGGCATTAATTGCAATTGTTGGGGGGCAGTCTAGTCTTCCCATGGCTGAGAAGTTACTAGATGAATCCCTAGAAAGCGAGATTTAAATTGAACAATGCCTTAACTGTGCGTCTGCTGTGGTTTCTTTGTCTTCCAGATGCCTGTGGCCTGATCCGGTGGATGCTAATGGTGAACCCAGAGCGCCGAGCAACCGTTGAAGACATTGCGAGCCACTGGTGGGTGAACTGGGGCTACAAGGTGCCTATTGGGGAGCAGGAATCACTGCGGGAGAATGAATCTCCCCTGGCTACAGTCGCAGAGTGGCTGCGCCGCTCCTCTAGGCCCCTGTTTGAGAACGGCTCCAAGGTGCGCTGCTTTTTCAAGCAACACCTCCCTGGTGCCACGTTGGAGAGGCAGCGCTCGCTCAAGAAGTCAAAGAAGGAAAACGATGTAACACATGCCCTGCAAGAGATGGGCCATCCTGCAGAGAACCCATCCAAACCTATCCTTAAGAGGCCCAAAGGCATCTTGAAGAAGAGGAATTCCTGTGAGAAGTCTCCCCCTCCAGTGTTGACAGCACCTCTTGATGCACAAAAGGAGGACAGTCCTGCATCAGTGGCTGAGCTGGCGCATGTCTTGTCCTCTAGGGCTTTGGCCCACAAGGCAGAAGTTGTTGCAGCCACCCCTCCTGTACCCAAGAAGGGAATTTTGAAGAAGCCCCAGAAGAGAGAGTCTGGCTATTACTCTTCCTCGGAGCGTAGCGAATCCACAGATATCTTGGACTCTGAAAATGTGGACCTTGATACCAATGTCTTTGCTAGCTCACCCTCATCTGCTCAGCCCCACAGCGAACCGTACACCGGACGGAAGGGCATCCTCAAGCTCAATGGCAAGTACTCTTCCAGCAGCACTGAATCTGACGGTGTGCCTGCTAAGGTTTTCTCCACATTTGCTGAGGTTGACTTGCCCAGACTCTCCCTAACTTCCCGTACTCGTCCATCCAGTGCAGCGAGTGAAGAAAGCATTCTTTCCTCGGAGTCCTTTGACCAGCTTGACTTGCCTGATCGAATGCCAGGGAGTGAAGAAGCAGCCTCCATGCGGGCATCTGTGTCTGTAGATCACCTCCTGCAGCTGGAGGAGAGAGACAAGGGGGAGACGGGGGGTCGCCGACTCCGCCGCTGGACAGTCACTCAGTGCCAAAAGCCTGTTGTGGAGAGCTGCTTCTCTCTGGCAGATTGTGACGATGTCACAGAGGTCCACAAGCGGCCAGTGGCAATGAGCATGAAACTGAGCTGAGGCATCTGCCATGGTGAGGCATGGGAGATTTTCACTCATCAGTGCGCCCTTCCGCAGAGAGAGGCGCTTCACAGTGGTGACTCTGCTCAGAAGAGTTGACAGTGTCCAGATCATTTGCACTTCTCTTTGGGGGTGAATGAGAGAATGTTGCAACACCCTGTGTCTTCTTCTGGTTGGGCTGGAAGTACACCGAGCTAGAGATATTTATTTTGTCACATTCTCAGTGGACTCTTCTGGAATGTCAAGAGGAGGCGGCTCATGTTTCAGCAGCGTCTTGTCAACTCATACTACAGGGTACAGGCGTGTGTTTGGAGAGAGAGAAAAGCATGTTGTTAGAAAGCTTGTGGATGTAGGAAATGAGTAAGGGGCAGTACAGTGGGGCAGGAGAAACTGGGGAGGAACGGAATGGCATCTGTTGACTGTGGGGCAATGGGTTAAGACTGATGCAAAGAAAATGCCAAACCTGTCTTCCCCCAGCATCCCCAGCAAAGAGACACTGAGTTGAAGACTTAAATGACATGGACCCTGAGCCCTTCATCTCTCCAAACAGACCCTGGTGATCATCTCTAATCCTAGTGACTAGAGTGGTTATTTTCTTTGCACTGTGCTGCTTTAATTGCACAAAAGATGGGACAGAGGTTAGGAATGCCTCTGAAGCAGAATGAGGATTGGGAAAGGTAATGGCTGACAAACGAGATTTCCGGCTTGTTAGAGACTATCTGCACTACTCATTTAGGTGGGTTTGGAGTGATAAAGTATCCTGGTATTCTGTGCCGTGGCTTGAAGGTGGGGTGGGATAGGGGTTTTCCTAACAGAATTCTCAGCATCTTACATAAAATCAAAGTGCCACACTTCTCTAGATAAGCCATGGTAGTTAACTGAAAAACCATGAGCAGTTGGTCCTTAGGAAGTCAGATACCACCTGTTGAGAACTGGATGCAATAATGGCACCCAAGAGTCTGAGATCTTTCTCCACCATCCTGTCAGCTTTGGTTCATGTACTGAGGAGATAACAAGAACACTTTCCTTTGGTTTGTATGTACATTCTACTCTGCAATTTTTAAATTCAAGATGGCTTAAGAGTACTACTCTGCAGCTCCCCAGAAGATGTTGGGCTAAAGTTTTGCAGAAGGAAGCTTTTTCCCAGGGCTACCAAATTTGCAGTACCTGTTAGTATCTCCTCAGACAATGAGTCTTGTTTGATGCTTAAATGGAAAGTGGTTGGAGATGAAACATTACATTAGAATGCCGAATAGAAGCCCTTTACAGACATGAGGTGGAGACTGGGAGATGGATTTAACATCTTAGAAAGGGCAGGCTTGAAAGAAGTGGGCATCTAGTCCTTGCAAAATGATACATGTATGTGCCTTTAAAAATAAATTATGGAATGGAGCTTGGATCTAAGGAAGTTCATAGAAGAAAAGCCTTCCTCCCACATCATTCCACAGCCCCCAAAGCTATCTGACAAGCCTCTCTGGAATTTAGGATGGGCTCCTGAAAAATGTTGGATGGGGCTAGTGGATTGAGGATAGGAAATGTTCATCAAGTTCCTAAAGCTAATTTACCTTAAGATCCAAGCTTTTGCGCATTGCTTGGATGTATCTTGTCACGATGTGGATTTTCCCTCCCTTGAGTATTTAAAAATACTGCCTTCTAAATAATATGAGCTATTCAACAAATTTGGGGGAAATCTTGTTAAAGAGTGTATGTTTTGTTAAAAAAAAAACAACTGTGGTAACCACAAATCAGAGGGAAAGTGATTTGCAAAACATTTCCATCTTGTTACACTTACAGGTTTCAAATACATGTTGCACTATCTTGCCATGGTCTTCTCTGGTTGGCTTTCCAAGCTCTGATGTTTTTCATCCAGAGAAGTTAATTTAAACTAAGCAAAATGAGACTGGAACATTCTCGTCTGTACAGCTCTCCTTTTTGCAAATTGAAAACAATGGTTATGCAAGAAAGAATAAAGTAAAATGAACCAAATGTCAAGTTGTCAGTCACTGCTGCATCACTGGCTAGACTCTATAGCTACCTACCACTTTATCCTTGGTTCCTTACCCCCCAATGTTTGTCTTTCACACTGCACAAAAACAGGATTGTTAGAATGATTGCTTGATCTTCAGGGCAAGAAGGATCTCAGTACTAGTATATAGAATTGTAGCCATTTGTTGTTACCTCCTCCTGATTCTGTATGAGCACTCACCTGGATATTAATCCATGCCTTGTTTGTATTCATCCAGAGTATTTTCTCATGTGACTGCAGCTGTAATAGATTTAAATGTCGAGAAATAGCTGCATTTTTATCCCATGCTTTTTCTGAGGACCTTAGAGGGGCTTTTTGCACCTCAAGCAAAGTAGGACAAAATGAGATGGATCACTTTAGATGGGATTTCGGTCCCAGGTTCCTTGAATCTAAGGACACGATTCCAATCAGCCCTTGCATATCCCTGTCCTGGTAGTGAAGACTTACCCATCCATATTAAGTGACCTGGAAATAGCCCAGGAAGCAGGCCAGACTGATTGTTGATCTAAGCCAGTATGATCCATTCTGAATTGTAAGAGCTCTCCAGGATCTTGGAGAGAGCCCCTTCTGCAGACTTGCTGACTGATCCTTGGGACTGAGCTGAATATGGCAGAGACTGAACCTGCATGTAACACTTACTCTGCCACTAAGCTGTGCTTGGATTGGAGGAATGGAATAACACTGAGCTGGACTCTTGCTTGCACCTTCTTTCTAAAAAGTAACAAATTGAAGGTGCAATTCTATGTATGTTCAAACAGAAAAAATTTATCACCTCCCAGAATTTCCCAACCAGCATGTCTGATGGGGGAATGCTGAGAGATGGAGGATGTTTTTCCTGCCCTAATCTGCATAATCTATGGCTTCTGTGTCAGTATCCCAGATCCAATTTTAGAAGTGGATTATGAAGAAGCTGGGACTTCCCGTGCAGAATTCTCCCTCTGCCTTTGCAGCCAGCAGCTATTTCTGCACCAGCTGCATTTCCAAAGTCACAAGTCTAATGTGGGAATCAGTGCTGGGGGGTGGGGAGGAGAGAGAATCTTCTGCCAGGATGTGAGGAATCCTGGTGGTGATTCAGCCGCTCATGAGCAGGAATGAAAGCCACAGAGGGCCAAAATCAGCAGTCTCAAAATCACAAATCCTTGCCTCCCTGCTCAACTGAATGCCCATAATCCTCAGTGTTCAGAGGGTTATGGGTAGCTGCATTAACTGGTACTGCAAATCTCAGGTGGGAGATGCACTCGGATGTTGAAGCCAGCACGCTTAAAGCAAATATCCAGAACTGGTAGTAATGCCAATATTAGTCTTGGCTGTAACTGAGCCAGGTGACTGTAATGCATAGGGACCCAAAGGATAAATGCTTATTAGCTGGCCAAAATGAAAGTTACCCAACAATTACCCTTTTTGTGCCTCCTGGGCAGCAAGAAACTCAAAAGGTTAATGAGGAAATTGCAGGTATTGCCTTCCAGTGAAAGCACAGCAGGCTTATCTTATTGAGTAGACCATGATACAGGAAGACATACAGTGACCTGTCCACAGCCCAGAGGCAGAGTAATTGCTGCATGGAGAGGGTGTTTAGCTACAGGAAAAGAATTGTGTTTCTGAACGAGGGTGGAGCAGGAGAAAGCAGCCCATTAGTCTAACAAGCACATGTTAGAGTAATGATTCAATGTGAGTTTAAAAACAAGCAGACATCCAGTTAAACATCTATTTGCTATTCTTTTATTAGCTATACCCCAGTTTGAAGTTGAGGTGATCTAGGTAATCCTACTACTGAGATCAGTTGCACAGTGGCATTTAAGGGGCATGGAGCCACCTGAACCTGTGCCATGATTTGAGGAATTCCAAAGACATAAGTTGGTTGAATTCAGACAGCATGATAACCCACATTGAGTGTAGCTCATTGAACTGTATTGTTGAAACCTGGGTTATCTTGTTATCGGAACCCAGCCACACTAACAAACATTTAACCCATACCCAACCCTTCACTGTGAGTTACTGACTTGTCAGAAGCCAGCCACTTCCAACTAAGAGGCCTGCTGGGTTGACCCCAGCATCTCCATTCCCACACCAGATCCCCCTGGGAAGCACAAAAGAGGGCACAGGTACAATAGGCACCTATTGTACAGTAGGTACAATAGAGGTTCGCTGCCCCTGATACTGGAGATAATGCATAGCTACTATGAATGGTAGGCAATATTCTTCCCAAATTTGTCTAATCCCCTGTAAAACCAATTCAAGTTGCAGCCATTTTTTCATAGCAAATCCTATGTTTTAACAATGTGCTGTGTAAAATATTTCCTTTTGTCTGCCCTGAAACTCCCATTGTTCAGCTTCATTGGATGACCCAGATCCTAGTCTTCAGAAAGGAAGGATGCAGGATTCAGTGATGACTCCTGCCCTGAAATAAATCACTGTATCCACCTTGTATGCACAATGCCTAATATACATCTCAATCATGTACACATGCATTTCTTCCTTCTTAAACTGAAAAGACCCAGACATTGACCTGGTCCACACAATCACCACAGCCCACTGTAGCTTATTTAAGTGGTAATTAGCTGTGGAGCCTGTAGGTGCTCAGTTGCCCATGAATGCTCTGGCTGCTGCTTGTCATGGCATCCCAACCAGGGCAGATAGGATTGTTTGAGATTTAAGAAATGCTTACACACCATGGCCCACTACAGGGTGATCTACCCTCCCTGGGTTCGGATGACACAATAAACCATGACCACTTCCTACTGGGTCGTATATCCCGAGATCATCTACATAAGTTATAGCCGATCTTAGCTTTGAAAAGTCATAGCAGGCTGCACAGAATCTTTGGAGAATAAAGCTGCCAATGGCCACCTCCAGTATCAGAGGCAGTCTGCCTACATATACCCATTACTGGGGAAGCTGGGCAGGAAAGTGCTGTCACATTCAAATTCTGCTTGTGAGTCTTCCATGAGCAGCTGCTTGACCACTGTGTGAACCAAATGCTGCACTAGATGGACCTTTGCTCTGATCCGCCATGGCTCTTCTTACATTCTTAAGTTCTTAACCTTTGACATGTTCCTGCTCTTTGAGATGCCTTGACTAAAATGGTACATGTGGTTGACCACAGATTCGTAGGCGTTATACTTTTGCCAGTTTAATTCCCACTCCCTATTCCAATTACGGCTAACATAGAAACTTACCTTGTTCACAGCTACCACGCAGTACGCAGACTCAACGGATGCATCCAACTCTACTAGGATAGACTAGACTTGTCCAGCTCTACTCTTCCATGATTCTGTGCTTTCTTTTAGCTGCCCACCTCAACCATCAGAAGATTTTGTGGCCAGTCAATACCAGCTCTGTTCCCATCATTTTTAATGGGAGGCACACATCCTGCCCCAGGGTGCATCACTTTACACTAGCTGAACCATATTTGCTATTATAATGTCCCTTTGCCCAGTGTAGAGAGATCTCTTCCCAGTCTCTTTTAAAAACCACACTATCACTGGCAAACATGGCTACTCAAAATGGGGTGGTAAATACAGGACTCAGTTGTTGAGAGTTTGGAATGCAGGTCAATAGAGGGCATTCCTCAAGAACTGTCCAGCTGAAGCCTGTTTAAAGATAATAGATCATTAGGAGGGAGAGCTGGGGTGTGAAATTGCCCATCAGTGGCCCAAAAAGCAGATTGAACAGGCAGATGCACAGGTCACTTGGTCAGTCTCCAACACTATAAGACTGGCTACATTTCCATTTAAATTAAATTGGCATGTATACATATACGTTGGCACGTATAATTCTATGGAAGTTTGTGCCCACTTCTGTCTTTGTCTTTGCTGTGTGTGTGTGGGGGGGGGGTGATGCACTTCCTGTCCTGGTGATGCATAGACAGACACTCTGCTCTCAGAAATTCTGTCCCTATAGCAGAGGTAGACAGTTTCAAAGCTCTCTGCAGTGCAAGCAATCAATGCAGGCTTCTGAGGAGACAGATCTGTCTCTCCCGCAGCATCCTGCGGGTGGGTGGCCCACCCAGAGCCAGTGCAGAACCCCTGACAGATTATATCTGCGGGGATACGGTCCCAAACGCAAAAACAGCCACCTACATGTGCTCCCTCCTATCTGTACTTATCTGCAGTATCTCAACCCTTTCCTTGTTCTACAGCCTGTAAAACCTGGACAGGCACTGAAGTTTCCCAAATGTGGGAATAGATCAAGTCCACCCAGCTCTTGGGCTGAAAGGTAGGCCCACATCTATGAAGGTAAAATGAAGAGATGTCTGTATAGGGCAGCCTTCCTCAAACTACTGCCTTTCAAAAGTTTTGGACTATAGGTCCTCTCTGCCTCAGCCATCATGGCCAATGGTTGGGAATGCTGGGAGTTGTGGTTCAGGACAACTGGAGAGAACAAGGTTGGAGAAGATGGTGTACGGGTTTGTTCATTCAGCTTTATTGCATCAAATCAAGAAGGGCATCTGGATCTAAATTTCCAAGCAACTGTAGATAAGAGGGAAAACAAATGGGCAGCTGCTTCCTTCATGACTAGCATCCTTTACAGACCATAATTTCCTAAAGCAAGTTTGCCACAGTGCTTAGGTTTGCTCTCACAAAAGCTATGCCCCTTCTTTTGCTTGGTTGAATTTGTGGGGCAGGGGTGTCCCCAGTGTCAAATTATTTTGTCAGAGACAAAAAAGGATATTTTTCCTACATAAAGTTTAACCTCTGAGGGATGTAAAGTAACTGTATTTGTATTACATCCTGTAAAATCTTGTGTTGGACTGATTTTGAAAAACCCAGGTGTCCGCTTATCAGAGGGCACAATATTAATGTTAAGCCAAGCTTCAGAATACAAAACCAGGGACCCGAGTTTTGCAAACATTTCTTTTGCAATTCTAGATATAA